GGTTCTTACCTTTTTTTACAAAATTTCAAATCATCAGAGAACAAAAATCAGTTTGATATTAACATAAATCAAACATCTTATCTTTTAAATTCTTGAATTTCTAGGTATCTTTTTCAGCCCTGTAGACAACTACAGATGTCAACTATCCATCAATATAAATGGTTAAATGTATTCAAGGTGAGAAAGACAAGCTGGCACCTATTCAGAATCTGCAGGGATATGATTTTCCTTAAAAACAGATTCTACTACAGTATAACTTTATGAAATAAAAAAAGATTTTAACTGTCCAGAATGTTGTTACTTTGTTTTTCTTTTTTTGTTTTGCTCTACATGTTTATCATAGGAAATTCTAGCCAATTGAATGGCATTATTTTAAATGAAGTCAACAACAATTGATCAACCCACAATCTGTTAACTGAAGTATAAAAAAAAACTTATTTTGAATCAGTTCATTACAAATTCAATGCAAGAAGTTTTGGGGACAAATGCACTTTACAGATGTAAAGATAGAAGTGAAAATCCTAGCCTGCTTAATGTTAGCATTATTATTATTTTTTGTCATTTTATTACTTTATAATCTGCATCATTTCCCCTACTTGATACAAAAAAAAAGCTGCCATATAATTCCATTTTAGACTGTATGTGCAATGAGATCTTACCGGTAAAGTGCATCCTACCACTACCCAAGTTTTTCAATAAAAGATAAAATTGTATATGTAATAAATTTTAATGGTATTCTATCTCCAAATAATGTCAAAACCCCTCATTACATGGGGACGTAGAAATGCCTCTGTGTCAAAAATATCAAGATTGCTTTCATGGATTGTTAAAGAAAGATAAAAGAAGAAAAGATTAAAATTCTATCTTACTTATTTGGTATTTAGTTTAGTTTTAAAACAAATTTAAATTTTTGTTTAATTGTTTTTGGAAGCTTTTATAAGTTTTTTTTTAAACCCCTAAATTTAATCTTTTCCCCGGAGTCAAAACCCCCAGTACTAAGCAAATTTTAAAGTTAATTTTTTTAATTTTTGCTCAAGAAAAAAAAGGTTTTTAACCCACGCGGATAGACAATTTCAAGACTACTAGTCTGATGCGGTGACCACTTAGCCACGCCATCACAATTTGATTTGGTATTTACTTGGAAGAACTAACGGCGTCGTCTGTGACATGATGAAAGCATCAATTAAATTAATTTGCAAAAGTCAGATAAGTTGGGGAAAATCTTTAAAATAAGACATCCAATACAAATAAGTTATCATCCGTTAGAAAAACCATAAATGTTCTTTTATTATCCAATTGATTCCATCTTTGTTCATAAATTGTCCGCTTCATTATGTTGGTAATTCACAATCGTGACAGTGTTTCACGTTTTCATCTTTATTTTCAAAAAATGGAATTTAGGAAACTTAGTTTAATGCAGTAATAAGATATATGACGATGTTCAGAAAAGTGAATCATAGTATTGTTTAATGTATTTTACCTGCTTTCCCTTCCCTAACGCTTTTGGAGGCATTTTGTATTCTATTTGTAAATACGTTCACTGTGCTTTCTGTGGCGGAAACGGTTGCTACAGACAACAAATGTTGACTGGTTATAGAGTACAAATATAAATAAGCGAAAAGCGATAAATATGTCGCAAAAATAAAGAAAAGTATAAACAAGTGAAGGAAAGACATGCTTCAAAAATCTTTCTGTCAATTAATGTGCAGTTTAAGAGTGGAGTTATGATATACACTTCACAAAATAATGATATCACACAAATCCGTATAAATTCTGCAAGATGTTAATAATTTTTTCTCCAAATGCCTAGTTAAATCTAGATGCTGGATAGACATGTAATTGAGCATGTGCAATATGTCCTATTACCATATGTATATATCGCAATATGGATATATATATACGTACAGTATTTATAAAGTAGCTAAAAATTGTTATTATTACAAAACTTATCTCTTCCACTTGACACGCCCACGACAGGGCATCGGAAGATCCACTACAACGTGTAAGTTAGCTGTTAAGCTAAGGATCGACGAGGAAAGGTACTTGGATGCGTGAGGCACCGGTACAAGGAGACGATTTGAAAAGCGGTGCCATTTGCTGGAACAAATAGCCCTTTTTAGGGATTGCATTCTTCGTTATTTCAGTTGTTACTGTACGTTTAGCTGCTCATTGACCGCAGTACAGGGTTCTATTTTTACTTAAAATTTATTTTTTTGCTTTTTACTATTTTGGCACAAGTGTATTTCATCTGTTTTCCATCTTAAGTCACTTTTCTAGACATTTATTAAATATATATGCAAATCATTTATGCTTGCTTACCCTATAAATTACTTCCGTTAAAACGCAAGCATTATGGTAAATCTTATCCACCTTTTGAAATAGTAAATAGTTATCTTACAAATTGATAAATTTATACAATGCGTCAAATCTGTGATAAGTTTAGCAACTTCAAATAAATAAATATGGAAAGTGTTGCCCGGGAGTCTATTCTTGGGTCGTTATTCTTAAATGTATTTATAAATGACGTTTTGTAGTTTGTTAATCACAGTGTAAGATATATAATTACGCAGATGACAGTGTCCTTTCCATTTAAAAGAAGTCTACATCTAATATACTCTCCTGCGCATCAATATTATTCTCGAACAATCAATTCAGACCGTAACTGGGGGGTTCTTTGTCAGGAAAACTGTTAAAATAGTTAAATTCCGAGTTCAAAAAAATAAAATTTCACAAATAAAAGAATGCAATATTAATCAATAAAATCATACACAGGGGACTATCGAGGAGCTGTTACCAGCCTATCCTTGGAGATAATTAGACTGGGGTTTTTAATTAACGTGATATGGGGTTATTCAAATACCTTAAGATTCTAGAGAATGAGGGGGTTAAGATGATATTCGGTTCGACCCTGGAGAAAAAGGAAGTCCAGATTTCTTGTAGATATGATATGGGTTGTGATAAACTACTGTGATTCTAGTTTATGAAGGTACTTGGATGCGTGAGGCACCGGTACAAGGAGACGATTTGAAAAGCGGTGCCATTTGCTGGAACAAATAGCCCTTTTTAGGGATTGCATTCCTCGTTATTTCAGTTGTTACTGTACGTTTAGCTGCTCATTGACCGCAGTACAGGGTTCTATTTTTACTTAAAATTTATTTTTTTGCTTTTTACTATTTTGGCACAAGTGTATTTCATCCTGTTTTTTTCCATCTTTCTTAAGTTCACTTTTCTAGACATTTATTAAAAAAATTTTTTATATATGCAAATCATTTATGCTTGCTTACCCTATAAAAATTAACTTCCGTTAAAACGCAAGCATTATGGTAAATCTTATCCACCTTTTGAAATAGTAAATAGTTATCTTACAAATTGATATTATAAATGCGTCAAATCTGGTGATAAGTTTAGCAACTTCAAATAAATAAATATGGAAAGTGTTGCCCGGGAGTCTATTTCTTGAGTCGTTATTCTTAAATGTATTTATAAATGACGTTTTGTAGTTTGTTTAATCACAGGTAATATTTTAATTACGCAGATGGAAAAATTGTCCTTTTCCCCCTTTAAAAGAAAGTTTTACCAAACTAAAAAACTCTCCTGGGGCATCAATATTATTCTCGAACAATCAATTCAGATCGTAACTGGGGGGTTCTTTGTCAGGAAAACTGTTAAAATAGTTAAATTCCGAGTTCAAAAAAATAAATTTTCACAAATAAAAGAATGCAATATTAATCAATAAAATCATACACAGGGGACTATCGAGGAGCTGTTACCAGCCTATCTTTGGAGATAATTAATTAGACTGGGATTTTAATTAACGTGATTTGGGGGTTATTCTAATACCTTAAGATTCTAGAGAATGAGGGGTTAAGATGATATTCGGTTCGACACTGGAGAAACAGGAAGTTCAGATTTCTTGTAGATATGATATGGGTTGTGATAAACTACTGTGATTCTAGTTTATGAAGGTCGTTTTGTAATCTGTCCGTGTCTGGGTTTTTTGTTCCTTGATTGTAAGGTAAACTATCATATCATATTCAGACTTTGATCATCTTACAATCAGTTCAAGTATTTATCCCTTATCCCAAATCCCCAATTTAAGTTGAATTTTTTTTACAAGTCGGAATACAATCAAACAAAAATAAGCTTTGATTTAGCTTTTTTTCAGTTTGGACATGGGGGGAATTTAAAAACATATATTTTAGACATTTATTTTAAATGTGCCTTTATTGTTTCCTTTTTTTCAGGAAAATTTTTTTTTCCCATGCAAATGTTTTAATCAAAGTTTTAAAATTTTCCCCATCACGGCTTGTTAAAATTATGTCTGATTTTATTCCCCCGTGATTTTAACCCAAAAATTTTAAAATTTTTATACTGTTAAAAAAAAATAAGAGAAAAATGGGCCTTCAATTTTTAAATTTACATCCAGATTAACCAGAACTTTGTTATGTTAACATACAAATAATAAATCATGATTCATCTATATGATTAAATGTACAGATTTTTATACTTTTTTTTTAGAGATGTCCATGTTAGGCTCAACATCAGATGAAGAATATATAGATGATCACTTGGCTAATAAAAGTTTATGTGAGTAGAATTTTGAAAATGCTTTTATAACCTCCTTTATGCAGTGATTATTGTTATTAAAATGTTTTAATTGTAACACAGACGTACTATATATATGTTCATTGAGTTAGCGAATCATTATCAAGTTTTAGTTATATCACTGATTGTCAACTGCCAGTTTAAGTTTGTGGTTATATATTATGTCTGTTTTGATATGTACATCTCGTACATGTTATATCGATATTGTATGCCCGAAAAGGCCCATAATTTGAACGGAAATATTCTTTGGGACATTTATTGGGCAGTTGAGTTAAAAATTTAACCAGTCTGCGTCAGAGAAATTATATACATCCGGTTAAAATTATTTTACTTATTTCTACATATTATTTCTTTCCTGTGCCATATCTTTTGATATGGAATCATTTGCATCTTAGAAATGGACAGTAAGGAAGATAGTGGTATTGATAGCGATAATAAATCTATTCCAAATACAACGCTTATGTCACGGATAGAGGTAGAACTTTCGTACTCGACCTAATTCGTACTATTTTTTATGCAGTGCCTTGTCTAACGCCGTTTTAAACATTTCCATCAATCACAGAAGCTTGACATTCTATAAAAAATGAAAAATATAGGCAAAAAAATAAAGAAATATAAGAAATAACGGCAATTATATCCCTCAGTGATAATGAAAACATTACTGTATTGATTTTATTTGATAGTGAATGAATCTTTCAAGATATGTAAATTATGTACACATGTTACTGACATGCTTAAATTTATGGGAAATAAATCTTGCAGAAAAGCGCGAAATTTTTAGTAAGAATTAATGCCCTTCCTTGGGAGTAAGGCCAACCAATGAAATTCAAGGAAAAAACAAGCGTCCACGAGATCATGATTTTTGGATGAACTTATCTGCCCCGGGGGGCAGATAACTGGATATTGCCGTTGATGTTTACTCAATTATGTCAACAAAATATTTTGTCTGGCACTAGACATTATTGGATCTACCCTGGGGATAGTCCAATATATTAGATGTTACAGGCTTGTTATAGTTTTTGTCGGTCAAGCCTGACGTCTAATAGTTATTGCTCAAAAACGCATAGCATCATAAAAAATTCCAAAAATGTCTATTGTCTTGCCTTTCAAGCTTTATTCAAAAGCTTATCATATTTTCTTTCAATTTCATGCTCAATCATACACAAAAACTTTCAAACGATGTACTTATCAATTTAAAATAAAATATAAACATCAATCTATTTTTGTCTATCAGCCATACTGGTTAAGCAAGGTGCTTTACAGATTGATTCCAAATTTTTGAACAGAAAAATATATTCGAACACACTGACGGTGCATGGGCAATTATTTCGTTAAAAAAATATTCTGTTAGATTGTTCTGACTCAGTTAAACGCTTGCATTTGAATTAGCCAATCAGATTTCGCGCACTTTACGGCCGCCATTTGTTTATCGGCTGTAAAAGGAATTGAAATACATTAGAGGATTTAATCATGATTTTTCGGATGTGACAGTTTAATTAGTTTGACAAAAGGTATTTATTTTTTAGTTTTGTTCATAAATAGGTCAAAAATTATGTAAATACACGCTGTCTTCATTGTTTTTCGTTCCGCCCGATTTTCTGGCGGAACATGCTATGGGTTTTTGAGCAATTTCGATATGACGTTGCTTTGCCCAGAAGCAAAAATATCTCAAAGCGACGTCATATTTATAGGACTACCCTGGGGATCACTTAGATTTTAGGACTTCTGTAGGAAAATAAATTAAAATTTTCTTTTGTGAAACTGCAACGCGCTCAGCTTAAATATTTGACATGTAGCATTACCTTGTGATTCTTTAAAAAAAGTTTTTATCAATGATACCCTTTTGGTCAAAAGTGGCTAGGCCCTGGGTAACACTTACGTGTACTATACATATACATGAATGTGTTTCTCAATGCTTATTTTAGGGGGGGGGGGGGTAGAGTGAATCATAAAGAAAGCTAAGCGGCATAAAGGTCTGATGGTGTAAGGTGTTAAAAACTTTTCTTCAAATCTTATCAATCACTTCTGAACAGTTACGTATTACCTATTCAGGGGCGTAGCTAGAGCAATTTTAAATATACGCACAAATGTACACGCAGGAGGTCAAGGGGGCCGCGTAGGTGGGGGTTTAAGGGGGCAAAGCCCCCGAAAGCTCCACGGATTTAGTAATTTAAGGATGATATGATTATACAATTTCACATGCATTTAATATCACATAAATGTGGTTTAAATCCTAAAAAAAGCAATTTTATTAAAGACATATTACACCCAGGGAGATACTTAACGGTGGTTCTATCTTATTTAAATGAAAGTCCTCGATACTTCCGTTGTGGAGCTCTCGACAAAAACAAAGTAAATAATCCGATTTGGAAACTTGTTTTTCAAAAGTCAGAGAATGTTTTGCCAAGTAGAACATCATTCTCATTGTTTTGGGTTTTACTATTACTAGGAATTCCGCCCAAGCAATGCTTCTCGATTTAATAGTTTGATGTTCAAATCAAAACGAAAGAATAGTAAGAATACGTACCCAATGAGCAAAAACCAAATCAAATAATCTATATAAGACACTCTTTTTGAAAAACATTCTACATCTAGGAAATGATTCAAAATAACATTGAAATTTGATATTGAAAGTCATCTAATTAGTCATGAAGAAGTTTTTGAAAATAGCATATTTTATAGATATATAGCGACGTAGTACACTTCTATTGAATACTGAAGAACCTTGCTAGTATCTCAATGCATTTGGAGATTCTGTTTTAAATAGTACATCCATTAATATTAATCGGCATAATTCCACAATTTCGACACTTCTTGAATGGTTGTGTTGGCTCCATTACATTTGCGAGGGCTCTTTCGCATTGCCTTTGACACCAGCACCGTGTCAATTGCTCATAATTGAATAAATTTTAATACTTTATTTATTTAATCCAGCTCTATGAAATGCGTTTCATATTCAGCCAAAGGGGAGGATATGATCATGTTCCATCCACGATAAAATTGGCAGATATTTTTGGAAAGAAATCACACAAGTTAATATTTGGTAAACGGTCTAGCAACGTAATTTTTTTGGTATTACAATTTTGACTCCGGTATTTTCGGTGTTTTTTTCAAATTCTTAACAAATGAGTCATTTCACTTCAATGGTGTTTGCAAGAAAGTATTTGATATTACTTATTCTTTCAAAATTCATTGATGAAACAATTTGCAACAGACTGATTTTCAGACGCTCACTTGATGCGACACATCGAACTTGTACGTCTCTAAACCATATAACTGTCAAACTTGCACACATATTTTGTTATATCAATCACATTTAAATTCAGTCAAATCAATTTGTTTTAATATTAAGTACGTGCCCTATTCCGCTCCAAATAAAACTTAAGTCACTTAAGTCACATTTATATTACCTAAAATTTAAGAAATTTCGCTTCGACATATTGTCTTACATTTTTTTGTGATATCTGTTACATTTCGATATTATCAAAAAGTCTGCATTATTTGTTTTATTCATTAAATTAAAAAGAATTGCAACTTTTTAAAAAGCATATGTATTATTTCGTAATATTTTACGGAAAGAGCTCATATTCAAGCTACTTGTGAGTTTAATGCAAAAGTTGATCACTTTAAAAACGAAACAGAGGTAGATCTACCTTTATCCACATAAAAACCAAATGAATAATTCTATATGTAAAAATAGAACCTAGTACACTATAATCAGTGTCTTGGCCCTGTTATAATCAAATACTCGTACAATAAGCCATTTTATGCATTGAATTTTTCTAATATTTCACCTCCCAAAATGAATTGTACGCACGTGCGTATTTGGCGTATAGGCAGCTACGCCACTGCTATTTGGGATTTTTTTTAAAATAATATGCATGTAAATAAAAAACAACAAATATTTATGTAAGTTTTTTCAGGTATATATATTAATATACGTACCTGGTTTATTTGATATTTGATCATCACAGGAAAAGAGGAAAATTCCCCCCATACACTAAAATTCCCCCTGCTGAGGGTACCGACCCACTTCCCCCAAATTGGATTGAGTGCCCTGTGGTGTAACTCTCCAGGAACGATGGTTAGGAAACTACCGCCTATATGACTGAAATACTGTTGGGAAAAGGCTTAAAATGAAACAAACAAACAAACATACATGTATATAGAATTGTTAAGTAAAAATGTTAAAAAAAATTTGTTAAAAAACTTTTTCTCGGAAAATTAAAGAGCATTGGCATTTGGGATTCTACAAAAGTTAAATAAATCATGATCCTGGGGTCAAAATTTGTCCCACCACTGGGTTTGGCGGAGAATATTTCTATTTGCCCTGATCTCCTTTGTATGCTTAAACTCTGCCATACACTGAAGATTTTTATGAGAGTTTGGTTTAAAGGATTGAACAAGTCCAAATGATGATGAATATTAAATAATTCCAAATATCAGCACATAATACAGAATTAAGACATTTTTAAAGTAATTCAATTCTAAGTATATCACTTTCACAATAAATCCAAATTTTAGTTAACATCCAGAAAAGAAAATCATGTATCACTGAACGACTTTTATCAGAACTCTTTTTCAATGTTAATTTGTAACATCTTTTATAGTAAAATTGATTCCCGCCAAATAACATGTGACATATATAAAATGTAAGAAAATCGTGACAAAATAAAATCACGTGAAAAAATCTGCTTATATAAGTAGGAGTATAAGTTAATAAATTCCGGAGTAATTAAGAAACTTTAATTTACCAGCGCAACTTTAACAATAGCATAATCTCCGGAGTAATATCACAATAAAACAAAAATAACATCATAATTCGCGATCTTCGCGACACTGGGGGCCCTGGGCATTTTTTATGGAATTGGTATTTTATTAATATATCACAAACCACATTCAATGTACTGAATATTATGTGTATTAACTTTTGTTACAAAATATTAATTATGGGAGCAAGTCTTTATAATATCATTTGTCATAATTATTCTGTTAAGTAAAATATATGAACTGATTTCAGCTTGACGATAATGAAGATGAAACTTTGACAGAAATTAAATCAGGGACAGAAACCAAATTAGCTACAACATCCAGTACAGCAAAAAATATAAGAAGATCTTCTGAGTTGCAAAAAAAGATTGGTATGTTCATGAACAAATGTCTTTTTTGTGTCTTTACAAGGGGCTCCACTGATGTCCAGATTTCAGTATAAACATTTTTGGTAGAGTTATGACCCTTTTATATCGTATATACATGTAGAGTTAATTAATGCCTTTTGGTATTATTTTATAGTCATTGCCTTTTGAAATAGTCTTTGGATAGTTTGTCCTTTAAACTTTGTTAATATAAAACAATAATGGTCTTTGAATATTGTTTAAGCCAAAATTTTTCATGAAAATCAAACTTGAGTATAACAAAGGTGAAAAGATTTAAGATTCCAGTAATAATTTACTATTTGTTATTTGCGATTAATACTGATTTTGCTGTATTTATGACCATATTTCTAACACAGTAAGAGCTATTTTTGCATATTTGGACCGTTTGATCATTTTTGTTGCTTGTACAAGTTTATAGTGTTGTTTGCAATGTGTAAATCACATTCTTTGTTCACTTCACAATATTTGATTTAAAAATACATTTTCATAAAAATTAGCATTAATCTGAAGGCATGAGCACTTCTTCAATGATGACCAATGTTTAAATTCATATTACATTTTTTTAACATTTTACATTTGTAGAAAAACAGCGAGAGAAAACAAAACGCAAAGAGGTTATACATGAACAGCCTAAAAGATCTTATTTGATTCCAAGAGCAAGGTAAATAAATTTATTTCTCCTACATTGTAAAGATTACTTCTTCTTGCATATGATATGATCAGAAACATTTCAGTCATACTGTTATATTTCAAGGTATTTTTATTGTTTTGCAGAATTTGTCATAGTGTGGCATATTCATTAAATCATTTTAAATGGAATACACCCATAAACACTTTCTTTATGAACTATATAAATAACCGAGATATATCAAGTGAAAAAAAAAAAAGTTGTTTCCCTTACCTTCTAGTAAAATCGATATCTCTTATGCTAAAACAATACAAATTAAGCTGTTTTTAAACTGCTAGTTTGTTGTGATTTAATGTCCGAATTTAAAATTTATTGCACCAATGGGAAGCTTTGGATCTTAGCTTCGTTACAGTATATACATTGTACTTCAACACATCTTTTGACACCAAAGTATTTAAATTAACTGTTAAACCTACCATATGTCAGACCATTTTACATTTGATTTATACAGTGAGATACGCATCCAGTTATCTTTACTCGAAATACTACTCATAAGAATAGCCTGTCATCTGCTAGTTGGAAACTGTTTATTGGTGTATTTACTATTTTCATCCAATATTTACAAACTCTATTTCATTCCTAGCGTAGAAAAAAATATTTCTGTATATTTGACAAAATTTACATGCCATAATTATGCTAAGTTAAGTCAACTAGTAGTAAATCTTAAATAGGTAATTTCAGTCTTAATAGAGGAAAAGATTCAATACACTTTGTTTAAATGAGAATTTAGATTTTAATAAATTTATTGAATTACAGATTAAACATACCAAGTAAACATGGTGCACCTATAGTCCCTCAAGATGAACAACCTCTAGTTGCCATAGTATCTGATGACAGGTAATTATAATGATTTAATATTTCACTAAAGAAATCATGCACTGACTGATTCTTTTTTTGATTATATCTCAGTAAAACAAAGTTAAGGAGGTACATGACAATTGTATATAGAAGTGAGCTTTTCAGTCCATCAGAAATTTGGTAGGTTTGGTTTAATTTCCAGATGATAACTCTTTAGTAGGCATTACAAATGAACACTATAAGTGTGAATTCCATATATTTGTATTACCCTGTCAAGGTATTACCTGTCAAGGTGTGATATATTCACCTAAGTGATAGCTCTGGTATGATATCATGGATTAGTCTTCAGCATTTCTGTCCATTTCCAAGGGAGTTAATCTATTTTGATAACAAAAAGAAATGTTTATGTGGGTAGTTTTGTGTATAACAGCTTAGTAATTGAAGATGAGTGCAGTGAGGAGAAACATTTCTCATGCAAGGTAGCATTCATCTAAGTTCAAACATCTGTCATACATGTAAATACATGATTATCTTGTTATCACTGGAACTGATAATGGGCAGTTTGAAGCAGAATAGGTCCTATATAACAAGTAAAGGGTGCATGACCCTAGATGAGGAATGATTTGTGTGTAAGAAATCATTAATTAGCAGACTCAAGAACAGTATTTTTTAGAAAATTTATGAAATTTTATCAATTTCATGATTCTACCTTGTCATAAATAAAATACGGGTTATTCCTTTAGATTTAGATACATGTTCTTTCTTAGATACAGCATATAAAATATGCCTCAGACAAGTTTAAATCACTGCCTGTGACAGAAATTTTCATTTAATATAACAATAAATTTTGATTTTTCATAAAAAATAGCATGAATCTGTAAGCGTTTTCTGAACAACCTTAACATAGCTAATATACATGTATATATGTTATCTAGTGAGGAGGATGAGTTTGCTATACCAAGTCTTTCCAAAGCAGCTCAACGTGAGATTACAGAACAGCTAATTAAAGATGGTTATAACCTTGACCTAGATCCTGATGATGAAGACCTTGACCTCATTCCACCACGACCTTTCCATGAGAGATGCGGATGTTGTCCGTCTGCCACGTGGATCCCTCATAAATGTGCAGTCCAATGACTTCTAGGTTTATATGTATAATAGTAATAAGTGTAGAAAGGGACACTCAGCAATTATGGAATATTTTATTACAATTATCTGTAACTATGTAACACTTATATGTGAAGGACTAGTCCAGGAATTGGGGTGGCAGGTGCTCTTGTATGAAGAATTGATAGTGAACATGATTTAATAAATCCAAAACTTTACATGCTGTTATATTATACAAATATTTAAGTATGTTTAATCAGATTTGTTTTTTTGTTATGCATAAACTATAATGTCCTGTATATTTTATCAGCCTATTTCTTTAAGAAATGAAAGCTTTATCTCATATATATATCATTGTTTACAAGAGGTATGACCTCAATGACCTCAATTGTTTATGTAAATTATCATGCATTTATATTACTCAAGGGTTAATACATGTACACATGTGTTTGTTAATATCTTCCATATATATTTTCTGCAAATGTTTTTTTTTTTTTTACATGGTTAAGATATTTGATAGTGCAGCAGTTATTTCTTTAAATCCTATAAAAATGCATTAATATATATATAATGATGACTCTAGTTATTAAGAAAAGTAAATGTTTAAGAAATACTTTGTCAATTCTGGTTGATAAATGTCTTCAGAAGAAGGAAAAGTTTATTCTTGCCAGTTAACTTTGTGGACTGTTTTGTTTCTTTTCAATGCATGTGATGAAATTAACCAAAATGATGCGTGTATTAAATAAAAAAAACACTATTGTTATATTTTTAGGGATTTAAAAGGGTTAAAGTTTAATAAACTACACAGGCAACTGTAGTTTATAAAGGTCAAAATCACATACATCAGTCAATAGTTGTGTGTGGTCTATTCATGCAATTCTTAATAAGGTGATAGGCTGTTCTCATGAAATAGGAGAAGATAAGAGAAAAAGATATGAAAAACCAAAAAAACTTATTAAGAAATAATCACATTAAATATTACAATTATTGCAATTATTTGCTTGTTTTATGCAAGATTATAACTCAATTTATATATGTTTTTGTTGTTGTTTTGTGCGGGGAGTGTCATTTTTTTTTACTCATCCCTTAACCAAGTTATGGCTATTTTATTATATTTTGACTCATCTTAAGGTACATTTTTGGGGAAGATTAAAGATTCTTGCTTATTCAAGTGGTATACTTGCCAATGATTTCACTATATGAAACATTTCCCAAATTTTCCTTACAATGAGTATAAAGAGTATGAATTTGGAGGTGTGATGATTTAGAGGTCTCTTTGGGCAATGGTCAATTTAGCAAGGGTTCTTTTACGCTTTGAAGTAAGTTCTTCATCATTATCCATTTAAGAGTTCTTTCATACCATTGTTGATTTTGTGCAATAATACAATTTTCATTGTTTTATAGAAAGTCCAGTATACATATTTGAACTAAAAATTCTTCGTTTTTCTATTTTGATGAGAAAGGTTCCATAGGTCTTCATTGTTTTTAGCAGAATTGGAAAGTTACTGATGTATTCAGTACTAGCAAATGAAAGTATAATAAACTGTATAAAAGATTTTCGTGATAACCGACTATGAAAGTTTTCATGTCAGCTTGATTCTTTTTATCATTGTCATAAAAATTGATCTGATTTAAATGAGCTTCAAAATAATTCTACGCTTTCATGTTAAAATACAAATGTATAAGATGCTTAGACTTTAGTCAGATTGCCATGTAAACATTCCATATTTTTATTTTGACATTTTTGAATTGTTTGTTTGTTCCATTATTGAAACCAGTTTGAATCTGAAACTGTTGTTGATCTGATGAATGTGTTCATAGTTTACAGATGTGACCAAAATATGTTTAAAACTGTTGCAAGAAAATTTTGTCTAGATATATTTGTTATACTGCATTTTAAAATGGCATGTATTTATATGTAAGAATTTATTTAGATTGTATTCTGATATTGCAATGTGTGAAAAGTAAAGAAATCCTATTTATTGTTACTTTACAAATCAACCATTCCAAGGTCATGTACTCTAAATCATTTCAAATTTCATGATTGTCCTTTACCTTACAAGTTAAGAGATTCAGGTTATTAGGATTGGCCTAAGGCACATGTATAAAACATATTCAGCCAAACTCTCCTTGTGGTTTGACCAAGATGCAGGCTGCTATATTTGTACATTTTGATTTTGAAATCTTTGACTTTACTTTGAACTGTTCAAATTTAAAAGGACTGCATATAATAATAATTTTTACCTTTTTTTTTTTTAAATGAAATTGTATTTTTCTGAAACCTTCTTTGCTCCAACTTGAAATAGTGTATGGATAGGTATTTGAGTGTCTCCTCACCAAAAAAGTTAGAAAGTCCCCATATGACATGTAGTGTGTTACTTAAAACTCAACCAAAAATAAAAGAAAATGTAAAAAAATCTCGAATACTTTCATAAAATAACAAAAATAGATAAACCGCAGCAAAACCATATGAAGAAAGAATTGTTTAATGTTAGAATTTTTTAGGTCGAAATGATTTTGAGTACCGCCTCTTTTAAAGAATTCCATTTATTTATTGTTATATAACTTTAGAGTTTATATTTGTATGTTATTAAACATGTTTTCATGTTACAAAAGTTTAAGAAGATTGTTGCTTAACAAAGTGCGTGTGTGCAATTTGTAGTGATATAAACTGAACTATAATGTTTTAAATACTTACTGTTGTGTAAGTTTTTTTTATAAAATTCCTGCATTGTTTTAATATGCTGTAATAAAAACAAACATTCAAAGCTTCGTACCTGGTATATACAATTTATTACTGGTAATATATCATGTAAATGTTACATTCATTTATAGAAAATATTGTTGTAGTGATAACATGTATAGGCCATTGCCAGCAGCCTTGCTTTTGGGATAACCCTTTAGTGACATGGTTGAGTCTCTCTCTTGTAATTGAGAGGTCTGGGATTCAAATCCCAGTCAGTGCCTGCGGATTTTTGCAGGTTTACAATAATGACTTAACTGACATAATATCAATCTGTTATGAATGAATCTCATAAAATAACTTGATGTGCAAAACAGAAACATGAGATGGCATGTTGATTTGTGTTTACACCAAATCTCACATAAAAACATCTGGGGTTCTAATCTGTAAAAAAAACATGACTATTCAGAATTAGTTCAATTACAACTAAATTGAACTTACAATTTTACAAAGAAACAGAACTTTGTAACTCTCAATGAACACTGTTCTTTTTAACTTCCCTTGATAAGATTTAATAAGGTGAATTGGAATAGATAATTGAATTTTTTGTCATATTGATACTATTATTGAGGAATTTAATGTTTCATTTGCAACACATACTGCTGCAAAATTTATTTTAGATATTATATAAATAACACATGGGTTTGTGGGTAACAGTAAAAATATCATCCCGAGGAAAATACTGTTACCCGAGGCGTAGCCGAGGGTAACAGTATTTATACGAGGGATGATATTTTTACTGTTACCCACAAACCCATGTGTTATTTATTTTATTACCCCGAACAAATACTGTGATGATCTGAATTTGTCAACTAAATCTAACTGTAACAAAAATAAATCAAGAGAGGCAATAACAAAACTGTCCTTACCTTGCATGTTTTAAGTGTACTGTAGGCCTACTTGAGAAGCTGTTTTTCTTTTATTCTTTAGGCAAGTGATGATATCTACCAGTCATAAACATAAAATAAGCTGTGTTTTATTTAGAAAACAAAACACTTACCCATTTATAAGGCTATGATCTGTGAAATCTGATCCTTCTGTATCCGAATATTCTTAGCATCGTTTTTGACAAAGTGCATTAAATTTAACAAAATAACGATGATATCCTATAGATGTCTGTCTACCAACTCTATCTGTAATGTTTCACTGGTTAAAATTGTTAAATAATCCTTTGTTGCATGCTTTAATCCTCTGCATGTTTCAGTTTGACACAAAATTATTCACATTACAATTACTTCCGTTGAAAACGGATGTTTCCTTTTGACTATTCAACAAAAAGATATTTTATACGCGAAAGGAACTCTAGGGTGCAAAGAACTAAATTTTGTGAGAGTAATAGTTACTTCGGCGATGCCCTATCGTCGAAAATAAGAATGAATCGAGAGAAAAATGGCAGCCATTTTATTTAGAAAATAGACCACGTGACCAGATTTTATACTGTTAAAAAATAATGTTACCTATGTAACAGCACAAAATTCTTAGTCACGTGGTACACTTGCATTAACAGTAAGAATAACTCCCAGAGGCCTATGGGAAATTAACATTACGAAAAAAGTGAGGGGTAATAAATTTTGTTAACAGGTATTATTATTGTTCTCATTTTTAGTGTGTGAAGTTTAGAAATTCTATCTGTTAGATTGACTGTAAAGTCACTGGATAGTTAGTTAAACATAAATAACATTACAGAAATTGGAGTAACTGAATATTAGTGTAACATCTATGTTTCATATTTAATATGTTTCTGTTTCTGATTGCATGACTTGTGCCAACAATGACTTTGCTATGCCAATATTGTGGAAGCCCTGTGATGCTGTTGTAAAATTGAAAAATGAAATCCTTCACTTTAATTTATTACTGACAGTTACAAATTACTAGCAGGACAGTACCATTACACCAGTTCAGTGGGTAAAGGTGTTATCAATTTCAACTTCAAAATTTATCCCAGAGGGTTAAAGTGATCATTTACTTTCTTGTGTTAAGTAGTTTTACTTATTTCCTTGTTAATATGATATACTGACTATTTTTTTGTTTTATTACTTTTTTGTATAATTTTTTTTAATTATTTCTTTATTTGTTTTTGTTTGTTTCTTTTCCTTTTGTTGTTTTCTTTGTTTGATATTATTAGAATATATAGGTAATTTAGATATATTGTTAATTATATGTTTATTCTTTCATTTGTTATTTATTCTGACATTTTTAGTATTTAAATAGATCCCTCCTTGTCTGTCACTTCTGTAGTAGTTATTTCCCTGCTATAGTTCTGTATTTCAAGCTCCCACATGCTCTGGACAATATGGTTTGTTTATAAGCTAGTCTGTTAAGTGGGAAAAGTCAGCCTATTATGATCACTTGTTGTTGTTGCCTGCATCATTGCGTAAAAGTTTTAATTTAAAAGCCATCAACAGGAAACTTGAACAACAAGGTGCAATTGTTAGACATAATTCTAAAAGCCTATTTTTGGAGAAAGCTGTATTTTTGGAGTTATGCCCCTTTTTAACTAAGAATTTTTATCAAAATCAGTTATTGATAGTCCTTACAATAGCTGATATTGCATGGTCGTGTTTCTGTAGAGGGTTACTATATCAAGTCATTTTACTTGTTTGCAAACTTCTTTTTTTTTAGCTCACCTGTCACAAAGTGACAGGGTGAGCTTTTGTGATCGCTTTTCGTCCGGCGTCCGTCCGGCGTCCGTCCGTCCGTAAACTTTTGCTATAAATGACATCTCCTCATAAACCACTGAGCCAATTTCATCCAAACTTCACAGGAATGTTCCTTTGATGGTCACCTTTAAAAATTGTTCAAAGAATTTAATTCCATGCAGAACTCTGGTTGCCATGGCAACCGAAAGAAAAATCTTTAATTATCTTCTTTTAAACAACCCTAAGAGCTAGAGCTTAGATATTTGGCATGAAACATCTTCTAGTGAGTGTCTACCAAGTTTGTTCAAATAAAAGCCCTGGGGTCAAAATTGGCCCCGCCCCAGGGGGTCATTGATTTTCCCTATATGCATATAGTAAAAACTTAAAAAATCTACTTTTAAAGAACCCAAAGAGCTAGAGCTAAGATATTTGGCATGAAACATGTTCTAATGGGTGTCTACCAAGTTTGTTCAAATAAAAGCCCTGGGGTCAAAATTGGCCCCGCCCCAGGGGGGTCATAGATTTTCCCTATATGCATATAGTAAAAACTTAAAAAATCATCTTGTAAAGAACCCAAAGAGCTAGAGCTAAGATATTTGGCATGAAACATCTTCTAGTGAGTGTCTACGAAGTTTGTTTAAATAAAAACCCTGGGGTCAAAATTGGCCCCGCCCCAGGGGGTCATTGATTTTCCCTATATGCATATAGTAAAAACTTAAAAAATCTTCTTTTAAAGAACCCAAAGAGCTAGAGCTAAGATATTTGGCATGAAACATGTTCTAATGGGTGTCTACCAAATTTGTTCAAATAAAAACCCTGGGGTCAAAATTGGCCCCGCCCCGGGGGTCATTGATTTTCCTTATATGTGTATGGCAAAAACTTAAAAATCTTCTTTGAAAAAACCCATATAGCTAGAGTTTAGATATTAAGCATGAAACATCTTCTAATCAGTGTCTAAAAAGTTTGTTCAAATAAAAGCCCCGGGGTCAAACTTGGCCCTGCCCCGGGGGTCATTGATTTTCCTTTTTTGTGTATAGCAAAAACTTAAAAATCTTCTTTGAAAAAAGCCAAGTAGCTAGAGTTTAGATATTAAGCATGAAACATCTTTTAGTAAATATCTACAAAGTTTGTTCAAATAAAAGCCCGGGGGTCAAAACTGGCCCTGCCCCAGGGGTGTCATTGTTTTTAACTATATGTGTATAGTAAAAGCTTAAAAAACTTCTTTTAAAAAACCGAATGAGCTAGAACTTAGATGTTTAGCATGAAACATCTTCTTATGGGTGTCTACCAAGTCTGTTCAAATAAACAAATAAAAGCCCTTGGGTAAAAATTTGCCCAGTGGGGGGGGGAGGGGGCTATATACAGGTGAGCGACCTCAGGGCCATCATGGCCCTCTTGTTTAATTTTTCATGAAAAAAAAATATATATATTCCATTATTTCAGTACCTGTAGTAGTATTGACTTATAACTTTATGAACAATAGATACACTGAATGAACATTATCAAATGTTAAATCATCAGTACTGTCACATTTCTTATTATTGTATAATAATCTTTATGAAAGTATCATCCATACATAACAACATATAGTTCAATTACATAATTTTACAAAATAAAAGTTGTTTGTGTACGGCCATACTATTCTGAATTACAAAAGACTGTAAGAGTAACATAGTAGAAGGGAGGCAACACCCAAGTCCATACAAATATACAGTAAAAAGTAAGGGCAAAGGAGGAAAATTGATGATTAAATGGGGTATATGTTTTCATGTCATTTTAAATGTTAGTTTGTTTGATTATGATACTGCCATATTCGGATATAGATGCCAGTTTAAATAGATACCATTCCTTAATATTGTAATATCCTATGTATTGTTTAACAATAAATCTTAGTTTATGCATGTTGTAATTATGATACATACATGTATATTAAAACTGTTAATTTTAAAACTGTTAATTGAAATCAAGGAGTCATCTATATTTGTTATCTAGCATTTTCCTGTACATGGATTTTTTAATGAATATGTAATTAGGGTGTGAGTCTTCTTCAAGGATCAACTATCTTTACTCCTCAGTAGTAATAAATACTAAAGGGATATTCTTCAAACTTTAGATTGATGACTTTTTAATGACAACAGAATTTCTATAGATATTTTATTTTCATTTTCATTGACATGCATTTTATGTAGCATGGAAACAATGACATTTGAGTTTTTCCTTGACTTTTATAAAGAAATATATTTATTAGTTCAACTAATCAAAGATTAGGGAGAGCTCTTGTACTCATAAAATATTTGTTAATTTTGTTTCTCCAAAACTGCTGAGGGGTCTGATAGGACTATAACTTACCTTTTTACAAAGAGTTATGCCCCTTTCCTTACAGTCAAGCACTGAGAATAGTCAAACTTGATGTCTTATGGACAGCTCTTTTTATATTTATAATTGTTTTTTCTAATGTTTTTTTTTTAGTTCTTTTTTGTTTGTTATTTTCTTTATTTTTTCTTTACTGCATTAAGTAAATTATAAGTCAAGCATGCTGTCTCCTTTGAGAGCTCTTGTTTTATCTGTTATTGTTTATTTTTTCAGAATAGTTCATAGTCTTTCGTTCTTTTATACTGGTTACACAAAAAATCATGTTTCTTGTGTTTCTTTCTAGAATTGTTTCCTATTTTGTTTCTACCTTTTCTGCCTTATTCTTAGAACAAAATTTTGTAGTTTAGAACTTCTCAAACGTTTGACTGATTTAGTGTATGTTTATCTTAATTGATGTCTGTATGTTGACCAAGCCTGTAGGAATTTGCATTTTAAGATTATTGTTGTTAAAGGTGGAAGAAAATGTTTATATTTACATAACTTTCATATATATACTCATACCATGACAAAACATTAAACTATTTAAAATCTAAAGAGATTTTTTTTTCTTTTCATACAATTGTTTTACATACAGTACATGTATGTCTGTGTCCATGTAATGTAATGGTCTTATAGTGACTTTTAAAAAGAGCTAGTAAGTAGTTTAGCCTTCTCAACTTGGTCTTGCATCGCCTTTTATCTGAGTTAATGATGGAAAATCTGAAGTTTTACATCATTCAGTACATTATTTCAAGCACACAAGAACCACCACTGATCTGTAAAAAAAAAATTGCTGTTGAACTGGAAGATGTGACTTGAAGTTCTGTCCATGTCATTTATTATCATATTAAGATTCATTGAATAACTGCTTAAGGTTTGGTGCGTCTTTTAAGGTGTTGGCTTAATGGTAACATAATTAGTAAGTGTGGATTTTAGAAATTCTAAACATTGGTGAGGAAAAGTGGATATCTAAACTATATACAGAATCATGTTAATTGCTAATGAGTCCATAAACCAGGTTCTTATATTAAATGTTTAACACCGGTGATAGTTTAAATGTCAAATGCCGGAGAGGATTTAACTTTGGATAAAATAGCTATAAAGATTTAGAAATTGTAGTTTTTTTTCAATGTAGTACAGGATACAGGATTATTGTTACCATATTTTCCAAATAATGTTGGCAAATAGCATAATATACTGAGAATATTGTCCATATGTTTGCCTGCATCTCTGCCATAATAACCTTGTAATGTTTGTCATAAAACTTAGCATGATATTTATAAATTTAGCAGAGAAAGAAATGTTAAATCATGTCCAATTCACAATACCAGTCCCACTTATGTCTAGCACCATAAAAGGAAGCTACTAATTATGCTACGTTTTTCAACAAACCATCAAGTCATTGTAAAATTAACAAGCTGAACACAGTGTGTACACACAGTCAGTGTTAACACTATAATCCCCTTCGTCCTGTTACCCTGGTGAAGACATATGCCAATGTTACGACAATTCATCAGAGATAAGATAGTCCTATTTTAGCCAAAGAGGAAAGCTGACCTTTGTCTTCCAAGTGCAACCTTGACATTAAAGAAGTGGATGTGAATCTTGTGTGTCACATATCTTCCGACTGTAGTATAGACATAATGGTTTGCACAATATTTCAACAATCAGTAATGTCAGTCATAAACTGGACATGATTTATCCTTTGACTTCTGTGTAAAACTTTGACTTAAATGTAGACCTGGGTTTTGCATGCAACATCATCTTATGGTGATCATGTGAAATATATTCTGAAATCCCATCATAATTGCAGTAGTCTTTTGACCAGACACAAAATCAAGCTGCTCTGCAGACTGACAAATGCATCAAGTTCAATCCATTCTATCATGACATTTGAGCCAGTGACCTCGGTCTTGCACATCAAGACTCACACCTGTGTACCAGCTTATTTTGAAATCCAATCTTCCATGTAAAAGTAACTGACTGGACATGTGTATATACTTCACACAAACATACTGTGATTATTACTGAATGCATCCCCCACCGCCAGGCAGGGGCATGATAAAAACTTTATTTTTGACCTGTACTTGTGATTTATACCTCCAGCTACCGACAGACACGATATACAGAACGTCTTTTCTGAGCCTTTAATTATCTATCAAGACACAATTTTGAACAGACTGACAGCCAAGGCAATATACTATATAACCAACTGTTGAGGGAAATAAAAAAATTCAAAACTAAAATTTATTACAATATATTTATTAGATCCATAAATATAATAATATAATTGCAGAATACACATCATGTTTAACATCAGCATGTAAAGTCACTGATGCTGATAAAATAGACTGCCAAACACATACATACCCTTTTTACCCAAACCAGTCACTGTTTTCTATTCTTTCTTTAAAATCAACAAAGAAAATATAAACTTACATTATTGAGAAAAACAAAATTGGTGGGTGGGGTGTACTTGCTATAGGATTTAATTGACAGGTTAAATTTATGTCAAAACAATCTAATTCGGTAAATAGCTTATTAGCTAATGTTTCTTGTAATATGTAAACCGACTTAAATAAAAGTTTCTTGTATGATCAGTGAATGTATCTTGTCAATGATAATTTTATAAAATCCAAACTATGCGAAGATGAAAAGTTAATGAAATTAATTAAAACCTTTTGGGTACCAGCCCAAGAAAATCACACCTTACGGATATTAAACACTTGTTATATAATAAAAGGGCAGGTAAAACCAAGTTATGGGTCTTGAAACTCAAAGCAAGATTTGGTGAGGACATCAGTTTTACCATTTCTCTACATATGTTTTTGTTATTTTGAGTTACTGGCATACTTTTAAACAAGCTATTCAATAAAAACAGATAAGACTCATAATAATTCTGACTTTGCAAAAAAAAATAAAATAACAGATGTGCTTTTTTATCTTTTAATTGAAAGCCTTAGTATTTTTGCAAATTACTAACATTGACAGTTCATTATGTTTAGACAGACTGTCTATATATTTCATAGTAATAAACAGCTAAGTATCAACTTAGACTTTACCTCGATTAAACTTTGTCCCCCTTTATTATCCAACTGAGTTAGTTTCAACAATCTAGTGGTCCTCTTTCCTCTCCCAACCCCCCTTACAACTTAATTTCATATCATGCAAGTTCTCCCCCTTAACTTTGTAACTGAGTTTTTACCAGTTCGTTGTCACATTTTACCTTGATAAGTTCAATATAAACAGATTCTCTTGAATGATAAACATATTACTTCTATATTAAAAACAAACACAAATCAAAGCATTTGCTTTTCAAATCATGTGATAAATAAATAACCAATTTATACAGAAAAACATTCAACTTCTAGCTCTAAATAACAAAATAAAACCATAAATATATTCTTGTGCAAAAGGACAAATCTGAAAACAGTCAAATTTGAAAGAAAGAAAAAACACAATTTTATAGAACAAAATAGCAGATAATTTTTTAACTTTTTTTTCTTACCTATACACAATTATCATTAGACATTTTAGTTAACTTTACACTGCAACACATTTATCAGTTAAAATTTGTATCAATTGTCGATAGCAACATTTAAAATCGGAAACTACAAAGTAGTCTTTCAGCATAAGAACATATGCATATTGAGTAAAATAACGAGTTAAAAACAATATGAGCCGCGTCACAACAAAACCAACATAGTGCGTTTGCAACCAGCATCCGCGCAGTCTGATCAGGATCCATGCTGTTCGCTTACCATCTCTATTACAAGTAGAGAAACTGATAGCGAACAGCTTGGATCCATGCTGGTCGCAAACGCACTATGTTAGTTTTGTTGTGATGCGGCTCATATATTTTAAACAGTTCTTACTAACATTGATTATTGATAGCTCTTGACATTTAACTTGAAAGTTAACATGGTTCTTGGCAAAGGAACCTTTCAATTATATTGTGCATAATATGTGTAACAGGGAACAAATTAATCATTTCAAACAAAAAATGGGCACACTATGATGTCAGGATAACAGCTGTCAGAAAGAAGAATTTGAGCAGAGTTCACAACCACTGTATTCTATGATATGAATTTTTATCAAAATAAGATATTCAAAATAAAAAAATAACAGTTCATGCTTTACATGTACAACAATAAAATAAAGAGAGAAAAAAAAATGTGAACAGATCTATTACACAGCGATGATAAAAATAAAATTATCAACTTTAGCAGCACGTAAAATAAGTACAAAACAATTTATCAAATAAATTAGTTTGACAGAATCAAATTCTTGTTCCAGCCTATAACATGATTTAAACATATATGACAAAGATTATATAATTATGAGGATAGATTGAAATTCACTATGTTAGTCAGAAAATGTCATATTACTATTGTGTATTGGTTGCATTAGAGAGCTGTGGTCGAACAATTTATCAGTATACCCCTAACCAATGAACCATCAAGCTGAAACAAATTATCATTTGAATATATTAAAATATCATTTAAATTATCATTTCAAATAAATAATTTGCATCAGGACATGTCTACATCTTCATGACTGGGATTATTCCGACATGGATTGATAAACATCAGTCAGTCACAGACAAATTATTGAAAAGAAACCCAAGAAACCCTGCATTAATTATTTCATGTCTAACATAAGTAACAGTAGTTATCAAAACACAGCTCTAAATATTACCAGATAGTAACGATCATAGTTACCAGATAGTAACGATCATATACTTAAGTATAAAAGTAACCAATAAGATACAATGTACGAGTATATTAAGAATGAAATAACATAGGGGAAAAAATAGACCTTGTTTTATCAGTATAGAAGATGAATATGTCATGTTCAAATAAGAAACCTGTTAGCAGAGACCCTGTTATGAAATATATACAAGATGGCATTATTTGATAAAGATTGAACAATTTAAGAGTAAACTGGCATGAATACCAGTATCACAATGTGAAATGGTCTGATTATTTTCATTAAACTTTTCATGAACACATTATCATTTCATACATAGAATGTAAAAAATTCTTTCAATCTTCCTTATTTCCATACAAACACATTCGTATAAATATACTAGTATTTGTATAATTTTTAAACACAGGGTAATATTTATCTCAGCACAACCTTTAAGATGTCTACCGGTACCCTTCAAATAATTAAAGAACAACAACAACTATTTATTGGCACAAAATTTGCAAAAAATTCAAAGGTAACAATCATGCATAGGTTTGATACCTGCCATTTCAAAGACATAATTTAAAAAAAATGTAACACAATATTGAAAACAACTAATTCAACAAAAAAAAAATTCAAATACAAAGTACTTCCTTTGAAAAAGTTTATGAACCAATGTTTTTGAAAATTCATTTAATATAATATTGTTTCTTTCTTATTTAGTTATGTTGTAGTTTAGTGTCAATTTAACGGCATTTCACATATACTACCTGTAGATATTACCTGTAGGAATATACCTAACAAGGGTTCCTGTACTCTGTATCAGTATTGTCAATAGGTAACCGCCAGATTCTCCACATAGAAATTATACCCTACTAGTAAATGAGATTTGACATTTTTTAATCAAAATAACATTGTTATACCATGGGCTCATATTCTTGTATGTTAAGTTTGCTATTCTTAAGCACAGCAGACTGAGCCAAACAGGATGTATTTGAATGTAATTATTCAGTATTTTCACATACAGACAAAATTTAAAATTGCATTCAAGATATAGAGAATAAACAAAAATATATTATAAATTAATATGTGTACTTAATGTATGAGGCTATATATTTCTGTTAGCACTATAATTTTTACATCTCTATAAAGAAGAAACAACAAAATGCAACCAGACTAATACAAGCAACATATCTGACAAAACAACAAAATTTAAATTACAGAAAAAAAATCCATACATATTAAAGATATACATTAATGGTCTGAAGTTGCTGATGTTGTAATTTTTTAATCATTATTGAAATTTTATTTTTGAAGGTTTTTTTCTGGTTATATGACCATGTAGAAATGGTTTTAATCTTATATAACCTTCAATGCTTGATGAGGATTATGGTTATATAAAACGCAATCATTTATACACAGCCATATTATTAGTAAAAAAAAATCATAAAAATATAAGGTAACTGGAAACACATTTGTTTTCTTTCATTAAAATATTTTTAAAAAAAAACATAAACAAAAAACTCAGATCTTTTTTCATGTAGATTTATCTCACTAGCATTTTACCAAAACATGGATGTAAAATAAAAATATGCTCAATTTTATATTTAATGCTATTACACTTAAGTATAAAAATAAGTATGTTATTTTTTAAGGTAAATTCCAACAGTTCTTAAAATATCCTAAGGAAATTAAACTAGTCATCATTATACAATTACAGATCTTGCAGCAAAGAGAGTAAATTTTACAGAAAAAATATATACATTTGAACTGCCAATTAACTATTATAATGCAATGAGATTCCTGTCACTATGAAATAGCATATACTTCATTTACCAATACTTGCCAGACTTGACTAAACAATAAATTATACATTGTACAAAAGTTAACTTATAGCACTCAATTATAAACATTCATTCAGTAACACATTTCTGATTAAACACAATTTCCCATCTCTAAACTTTTTATCAGTCCACACTCTGACAGTATTTTAAAACAAAAATATCAGAACTCTGTCTTTTGCATCAACAGTCAGCCTAAAAGGTGCATAACCTTTTTTTTAAAAATAATGTAAATAACAATACTTAATAATGTGTCTTAAAATTGTATCCTTTTTTAAAAAAGTTAACCTAAAACATCTAAGTTTTTTAATCATACAGATTTTCCAGGTAAGAAAAAATGACATCAACACCAAAGAAACATACATTTGTATTTTTATACTCAGATTTGGAGCCATCTAAATATTCCTTTCCGAGTATGACATTTTAGCTTCATTGAAATACATGATTGTTCATGTCATTATTAGCAAAATAACTTACTGGTGTCATTATTCTTGACATGAATTGCTGGTGTAATTATATCAACATGATTGTTAATGTCATTATTCTCAACACAATTACTGGTGTCATTATTCGCAACATGATTTGCAAATGTCATTATTCGCAACATCATTTGATGGTACCATTATTCTCATAATGATTTGATGGTGTCATTATTATCCACAAGATCACTGGTGTCATATTCTCACATGATTTGTTTGCATTATTATTCTCATAATAATTTTATGGTGTCATTATTCTCAACACGATTACTGGTGTTATTATTCTCAACATGATTTGTGGGTGTCATTATTCTAAAAATGACTTAATGATGTTATTCTAACATGATTTGCTGATGTCAGCATTATCAACATAATTTATTGATGTCATAATTCTCAACATGATTTGCTGATTTCATAATTCTCAACATGATTTGCTGATATCATAATTCTCAACATGATTTGCTGATATCATAATTCTCAACATGATTTGCTGATATCATAATTCTCAACATGATTTGCTGATATCATAATTCTCAACATGATTTGCTGATATCATAATTCTCAACATGATTAGCTGATGTCATAATTCTTAACATAATTTGCTAGTGTCACTATTCTCAACATGATTTGCTGGTGTCACTATTTTCAACATGATTTGCTGGTGTCACTATTCTCAACATGATTTGCTGGTGTCACTATTTTCAACATGATTTCAAGTAAAACAGATAACACATGAGATTGCATGCCATACAAATATTCATCAATGTATTCTTCATCGGGTATATCATAGCACAAATAATTTTGTTTTCTCATCATCTTCCTGAGCAAGTGCCTCGGGACAGTGTAACATACACTTAGCTACCAGTTTATCAATGTAGGACTTCATTTCTACATTATCCTTCTTTAATGCTGAAAACAAAAAAAGACAACAAAAAAAGAATGTTAGCTGTTATAAAGAACTGCCTATATCATCAGTAAAGAGCCAGGTTGCTGACTTTCAGTACTTTGATTATTGAAATCTCTTCACAAATATAAAACCTGACAGTTCCAACATTCCAGAAGTGAGAGGTGAATTCCCTATGTAAAGATAGTTTTCAGTCCCCATGTAAAGATAATATTCAGTATTTTATTATTTTGTTTTTAGTTATAAATACTTTTGCTTTCTGAAGAGCTCTGTTGATATAAAGCTAAACTAAAATTAAATTGTGACATCTAAAACATCTCGTAAAAGGTAACATTCAAGAAATACTAAAATTTTGTAATGATCAAAGATCAATTCCAAACATACACCAAAAATATCTTTATTTAGTTTAAAAGGTAAAATCTATGGTAAAATAAGCACATTTAGAAAAGTATGAAGTAAAAATACTCATAGTGAACTTATTAACATCAACAATGTAAAATAATATTTACCTGCATTTTCTATCTCCAGTTGGAATATTTTTGCCTGAAGTTGTTCCTTTGACACATCTATAAAACAGAGCACACTCAATTTATCTGCATTCAATTCATATCTTTGGTAACATAAAATAATTCATTTATAAAGTCCTACTAGGGATAAGAACAGTGAGAGGCAAATTATTTTAAACCAGTGATTTTTACAATTCTAATTATATCTTAGCTTTACAGAAGAACCTTTGCTAAAGCTTTTTCTTATACACTAGCATTAGTTTTGTAACGAAAGTAGCAATGCCATTTTTGAAACAAGGGGAATGATTTAAAAAAGGACTTCTTATTAAGAATATTCTACATGAATGTAAACTTACGTTCAACAGGAGTTTGATTGGCTGTTACAGCAGCTACAAGTTTTGACTCACTAGCATTTCTAGCATGTTTCTTCTGATAGCGACCTTGAACAGTGGGAGTAGAAGTATTGGGTGAACGATTCGGTGTACTGGTATCTATGACTGCAGAATTTCTTATTCTAGGCACTGTGTTCGAGCCAGACTGAAAATTTCAAATGTATATCTTCATTTGTATATGGTTTAACTACTAGAGATTTTAATTCCATTCTTAAACTGTAAATAATAAATTCTACTCAAGATTTATTGAATTTTAATATATTTAAACCATCTCAAGGCTGCTGCAATTCTACCGTTACAAAGACATGTACTGATTTCTCTGTATCATGAGTACAAAACTGCTATACAAACCTTGATTTCTTTTCCTCCTATAGAAAAATCTATCTGCTCATCAGGACCTAACTGGTCTTTAACCTCATCTTTGTCATTCTCAAAAGGATTCGTACTTGAATTTTCATTTGCATCAAGTTCTTCATAAAAACAAAATCCATCCTTTAAAGTTCCTATCCCCCCTGAGATTGTGTCAATTATCACTGCACCTTTACAAACTTTCCAGAAATGAGTCGTACAGTATATCCTACTTGATGATTCAAACTCAATAGTGTCAGTACAGTCACAACCAGCTATTTTTAATGATAAAATGTCCGATTTTCCAACGCCTAAATTTCTCCCTTCAATCGTTAATCTCGTTGGTTGATCTATAGGGCCGGAATTTGGAGTACAACTTTCGATAGATGGGTCATCTCCCGCTCTGTCTAAATCGTTACTCACACTGAGAAAACTTAAACTAAATCTCCTTTTATTTTTGTCCTTCTTTGTACTAGATTTACTACTTATAGATACATTGTCATCCACATTGATAGATTCACTGGCACTGAATTTGTTAAATGAGAATAGATCTTGTATAGATCTTGAAAATTTCTTATTAAAGTTTGCTAAAGATCCTGACTTTGGTTCTTTCTTATCATCCCTCTTATTTCTACGCTGCGTGACAGGAGATGCCATACGTTTCCGCAATCTTTGAAACGCTGATCGGGGCTGAACATCTTGCGGAGTTTGCGATATTCCTTTGATAATTGGTAGATGTTCACCTGGAGGTCTATATTTAGAAACATAGCACTGGTATACAAGTTCTCCCTGAGGATTAGGGCACTTCTTGTGAGGCTGTAATGGCATACGTTTGGCCTGACCTTTTAATGCTTTTAGAGAAGTCACTGGAATACTGATTTGTCCTAAAATATCATCCTTCTCTGTTACAATAAAGAACACCTGATCCAAGACATTTGCCACATGTCTGAAATAAGAAATATATATATCAACTAAAGCACTGTGATATCTACAACTAAATTGTAAATATCTCAATACATTGCATCCTCTCCACAGCAACATTTCCTGAGAGACAAGATTGTTCTGGAGAAGAATTTGCACTTTGTGGTTATTGCTCTATGGATGGCAACTATGCAGAAATTGCACAGTTACATAAATTTCATGTAAGAAATAAAAAGAATTTATTACCCTTCCAGATTTTTTCCGCCTTTTTGATTGGATATTGATCACCCGAAAGAAATTGATATAACCGAGCCAGACGGGTAATATACTCACTAAATTTCCCCGTTGCGTACCCCACGTTGTAAACAACATGCGTTGTGGCGATGCGCGTACTGTTTGATTTTACGCGATGTAAATTCCGATTTACAAGCACTTTTTAACTGTCAAATGATAAATATTTACCAAAATACAGTAATGATACATATTCTCATCAAAATTGAAAACAAATATGACCTTGTGAAAGCTTGATATTAATTCCAAAAAAAGTGCGTTCAACAGACTACTCCTTTCTCTTGTTTACATTCGTTAGGTTCGAAAGAAAATACGTCATGTATTTATGTGACGTCATGTTGTGGTGAAGGGGTACCCTAAAGGGAATCTTATTTCGACGTTTCATTTGAAGTAGCAATGATTTATTTTAAAATCGTCTTAACTCGGCAGGGGAAGGGTAATAAAATTATTATTTTGGTTTTGGAGTGATATATGTGGATATATTACCTGCCAAGATAAAATATCACCCTCGCCTAACGGCTCGGGTGATATAAAATCTTGACAGGTAATATATCCACATATATCACTCCAAAACCAAAATAACATATAATGTTTATTGTATCATCTGCGATTTGTATAATTAATCTGCTTATTAATGATTTGGTCTTTTTTGCACAATTTGAGAAATTTTCAACCACAAATTCTGCCAAATCAGGAAAATAATGCCCAAACAAAAATTTGAAGACTGAAAGTATAGAAAAAAATTTCTATCAATATCATTTATGCAGAAATAAAATGTAAATAAAAATTCATGCTCTTATTTCTTTACTTAAATCTTTTATTAAGTTATTTATGAAATTTGCTGATACTTGCATAAACTGTACCATAATAGGCAGTTTTAACTATGTGATAAAATTTAAATGAACTTCTCCATTCATGCTATTGTACTAGATAAACCACATTTTAAACATCTTTATTTTAACTTGAGTTGAGCAGTGTGTAAGATAACATAAAATTTCCTTCAACTATTTTGTTTGACATTTAACGCTATATTGGATAATGAGAAACTTCAAAAGGTAATATAAATGCCTGCATTTTCATTGCAGGTAATCTCCCTCCATCTACAAACAATGCATTTTATTTTATTGTTTTTTCATACCTTTACCTTAAGGAAAACACCAAAGTGATCAATTTGTTGAGTGATGAATAATTTATTACTGATCATTTATCTAAATTCATATCGGTCATTTTCACATGAGTTTTTTTTTATTATTTCAATATAATCATTACGTACATACAGCCGTGGGCCTTACATCGTCTAAATTACAAAAAAAATCTTCTATGGTCTATCTTAATACAGTAACTGTATCTCTATAAAATATTTGAGTACAACAAAGTTCAAGTTGTTGACAGGTATCAAAATACAAAACAAATGCAAAATGAAACTATCCTCTAAATTAGTTAAGATTGTTGTAAATTGGAAATTTAAATTTTGATTTAAGAAATCATAAATGGATACAGGAAACAATAGAGTACAAAGGTCAAAGTTGTATACCAAATATAAAGATGTTCTTCTGGTCCGAATTTAAGGGCCATAGCTTAAAAATTTAGAAAGTCACTGGATAAAGTTCAAAGTTACCCTGTCCTCAGCTGAGCTAAAACAAAGAGACAGAAAGAAATAGATTGGTACTTACACAATAGTTTCTTCATTCCAGTCTGGATTTCCCTCTGAGTCTTTTACAATACCAGTCCGGAACTTTGTACCACCCAGTCCAAATATAACAGAGAACTTATGGCGGCCTGAAAAAATGAAATATTTCACATATCAGTGCTCGTTTTTTTCCACAAAATGCAATACCTCTTATACACAGTTTAAATAACTAATTAAATTCCGCATAAAAATGTATTTTTATTTTAATCATTCTAGAGCCTGCGTCCTGGACCAACCAGAAGTGGTATCATGATATATGACATGAAAATAGCAAATCTCCAACAAACTATACCTATTTAGTCAAAAATATTAACAATAATGCAACCACTTCCCTAAGCATATTTATGTGTGTGTCTTGTATTGATGCTATTATTTTTTTACAACAGCTCATCTGTTTTAATTTTACACCAAACAAAGGAACTTAGTTCAAACATGAGTTATGGAAATGTGCAAACAATTTAGAAAGAAATTTCAAAACATTCTGATTTCAATTAAAGAAAATCTCCTTTGTTAAACTATCACAACCATAGAGAAGCTTCGTAGATTTTATGCAAAATATATAAAAAATTGATTTTTTTTTCTATATATTCCTACTAACTTAGTTACAAATTGGGTAATAGATATTTTTGAATTCTGTATTCATTCAACATCCTTTTTTCTTACATTGTATTTCTTTATGATTAATGAGTTCTTCCTTTCCAAATACAATCTTTACAGAAAGAAAATAAAAGAAATGAAAAATACCTGGTTTCTTCCCTTTAATGCCTTTGGCACTGTGAACTGAAAAATAAATGTCATACTATATGTGAAAATATATGACAAATTTAATGAATTTCAGTCTATCTATCATTCATTAATTGTTATATAAAAAGACTCATGTTATATTTCATACCAATCTTATTAAGTATAAAAATAGATTTTAAAGTTTTAAAGTTTCAATATCAATTTATCAGCATTTTATATTGCTTTGGTTTTTATGTATTACTATAATCAAACAACTTGTTTGTTTGTTTTCTTGTCTCAAAAGCTAGTATAACACAGACGAAATAATCAACAAAATTCATACTCACCAACAATGGTAATCTCCTCTGGGTCGGACATATTGTAGACTGGTCCAGAAGTAGCCACAGTTTAAAATATATCAAGTGTTGAGTCCTAGGATTTTAAAAGAGTAGACAGGACACTGTCTGTTACCTTGAAATCATTCTTCTACTGTGCTGTTACACCAGTCTGAAATTGAAATTAAAATTATCAAAGGAAATGAAATTAAAATTATCAAATTCTAATGTTAATTCAACAAATATGTCCACCAGTCTGAAAGTGAAACTGTAAAGAAATTAAGCACATTTTATGAAATATTCATCACTTTTAGTTACCAAACTAACTCCTTTGAAATAAAAAATCTAAACCAGTATTTGAAATATAGAAAAACTATTTCATTCAAATTTAAGAGACACAATTATAGAAGCCACTATCTTACATCTGATATTGGCTAACAAGTCTATTAATATACATTTGTATATTATATACAGACACTGAAACCACTACAAAGCAATACATAAACCTATCAATTTAAGGAAAAATATCAATATATATGTACATGTACTGTATATCAATATGTACGTAAAACATTTTATGAAGATTTCAAGTCAGCACAACCATTTCAAATCAAACAATAAACAATATAAAACCATCTAAAGATGAAACAATATATATCCATAAACACTCATCTTACACATAAATACAGTCCATATATCATTATAAATATTGACATAATTATTACACCATGAATGACAGACCTCCAAAAAGATAATGTAATTATAGCTTGTATTAGAGCTACATCATTGATCTCGAGAGATGTCATGTAGTTACACAGCATTACTAGAATTAATTCCATTTTCTCTACCACTATCTCCACTACAGCTAATCAATTTTTCATCAAGAGTTCACAAAATCAATCATGCGTAAAATGCCCTATCAGATCAGTCACATATGGAAACTTTATCTGCTTCGGCTGGTAAAAGACCAAAGATGTCCCGCCGGTCTTTAGTTCTGGCATTGGAGATCCACAATCTTATAATATGTAAACTAGCCAGATACCTTTTATGTTATTAACATTATCCTAGCAAAAGTCATAACAACAACACCAAATGGTAAATGACTTGAGATGAAAACACTTAATAAATCCAACTTGAAATTTTTTATTTTTTTTTCGTTGGGTTTAACGTTGCACCAACACACTTTTACACAGTATAGGTCACATTGCGACTTTCCAGCTTTAATGGTGGAGGAAGACCCAGAGGCCCCTCTGTACATTATTTCAGGCACAATCAGGCACCGGAGTAGAACCACTGATGTTCGGTAAGCTTGCTGGATAGCTTTCTCACAGATACTGGCATGGCTCGAACCTACATGTGTACAACAGTGAGAGGCAAGTGTTTTGAAGTAAACGACTTTAACCATTCAGCCTTGGAAGCCCCAATTAATGTAATTGCCTTACAATGCATTTACATTGAGTAAACTCTAATCCCAAAGTCAAAACAGCAGGTTTATACTAGCAGAACATTATCAAACTCAAAAACAGAACGATTAAAAGCTATTAAAAGCTTTTATCAAAAGATTTATAACAGTATATCTTAGCAAAGAAATACAATTTCTTGGAAAGGCTGTAAAATTCACGAGAAATGTAATTTATAATGTATCTAAGCAATTTTGAGCCTCAGATCAAAAAGGAATTCTCAAAAGTTTACAAATAACAGATATTTTTCAACTATTTTCAACTATTCAACATTGTATTAATAACGTTCATTATAATCTTAAGGCAAAAATTTCACCATACTATTTGACACTCACAAATATTTTTATTGTCCATTATTAGCCATAAAAATGGCCATTTAATGCCCATTACTACATTAACATAAACTACTCTGAATATTAGCAATTAATTTAATTTGTAAATAAACAAAACCACTCTATGTTTACAGTCATTATGAATACATTTACTTTAAATGTTTACATCATAATAACACCATGTTTATTGTAACTTATTACTGTCAAGTACAAATGTATTAAAGTGTTTATTTTTCATAACAGCTTAACATTTCATTTTGATCTTACTTAAAATTATAAAATAGCAATCCTGGGTAAAATGACATGATATACCCTCCTGGATGGATTGGTCTTTTTTTAGGAAACTGCTGATTTTCTGGAGCAAGAAATTTACTATTTAAAAATTGCTTCATTTCCCTATGGTTTAAATTAGGTACCTAAAATGGTGTTATAATTTTACTGTTCTATTATAATAACTGCCATAAGCAGAATGAAAGGACTTGTCAAGTTCGGAAGATGGGTTCTGAAAGTCATATGACTAGCATGTATACAGACTGAAACTTTTACTGTATTTCTATCCAAATCAGAATGTTATGAATTTTGTCACTTAAGATCACAATCATACATGTCATACCATATCAAAGAATTCAAATACACCAGAAGCTATAAATTTTCATATATTTTTATGTTAAATTTACAATCAAAAATTTCTATAGTAAAGCAGCATTTCTCTAGATTCATTTTTATCATAAATTAATCATTTTGATTATTTTGCAAAGCATGCAATACAATGTAAATTTAGCACTACATCCAACGTTGTTGTTCTTTTTATTTGCTTTTTTTTAAATTTAAATGTCCAACCTTTTTCCGTTTTAAAACTTGTCTAAATTACAGTATTTTAATAACTTTATGAATTCAGGTAAAGGTAATATAAATTTAACTCTCTCCTGTATGTACATATTTTATTGTACCTGTTAAGACAGAATTTTATTTTTATGCTTTCAAACACATCAATTAAACTTTCTTTGATGATAGAAAAGAAATTAAATCGGTTACACTGTTGTCAACTGGTACAAAGTCAAAAAAGAGTTTTTCTTTGCTCAAATCACGTCATGAGTGAAAATCTACGTAAACAATAAAAACAACATTGTCGTAACAACTTAACAACAACAGAACAACAACAAAACAACTGGTATAACAGTAAATACGGAGACATCATCAATCACTATACACGCTCAGTGAGTAGGAACCTATGTAATCTTTCAAAATTGTCAAAAACCATTTATATCCTATCTTTCTGCTATTGTAACATAGATTCACTTGTCAAGCACATGTTCCGTTTTGCACTGTAACTCACCACACCACATTAATATCTTGTCCATTTGCAAATTTTGTCATATGTACCAGAATTTCTTCTAATAGAATATCCCATTAAAAAGGAAAAACAACCCTCGTCCAGTTGTCAAAATATACATGTAGTTAGGTTTTTATGTAGACTATTTTTATATCTGTCACTATAAAAAGCGTAGGTGACCATCCTGAAAATAATCGTAGTGACCGAGCTTGCCAAAGTATTACCTGTCTGTGTCTTATAAAAGTGTGATAATTGTGTAATCAATATTGCCTGATATACATGTACCATATATGTCAAATTGTCAACGTAATACATGACAGGTGAAGATACATTTATGAAGATAAAATAGGGGATAAAGATAATTTTTCTTTCGTAAATATTAGTTTTGTAGCTCATGTAGCTTATCTACCTTTGTTTCCTGGAACTAACATGAGTACTGGTGTTATGCGAGAAATCAGGGTTCTGACTGCAATAGAGACCAAACCCATGATTCATGGGTTGAGACACCTTACTTAATAGATTATTACACTAGTTTACCTTTTTTCCTTCAATAATTTTTTTTTAATAATTCTATTTACAATTGTGTATAGAAATTTTCAATGCTATTTGAAATCTCTTTTATCACAATCAGTCACTGATAAAAGAATTGTAAAAAAAAAAGATCAAGCATTTCTACATGTATAGTATACCTTATTGTAATGGTTTAAAACAATTTTCAATCTGGAAAGATAAAAATCAGGACACAGGAGTCTGAAATTCTATAACAATAATAGAAAGTTTCAGTAAAATATAGCGGCCATACACAGGGGAGGCAGAGCTACATAACTTTTTGACAAAGTGCACATCGGAAAATTATAAAAAGGTCAAAGGTCACTTGGGTTGTAGACTGTAGTATATTGTCAAGACCATTCTAACCCATGATATGGATCGCCATTCTGTTAATAATGAATACCAAGATTATAGGACAATTCTCATTTTACAATTCCAACTATTTATTTTCTAAGCATAAGGAATTTTCATTTTACCACTGCAATGAAGTATTTCTTTATCTTTTAAGAACAATTTTTAACTGATATGAAGTAAAAGCTAGAAGTTGTGACAGGTGTATTTAAGATAATACTTTCCTAACTTGTGATAGGAAATGATAACAGATATTGGCAAGTCTCAATGAACAAAACCAAAACCTAAATCCCATCTAAATCTGCACTCATAACTAACTTATAAGCTGCTTTCAATACTAAATAGTTCACTATCATTGTCAATTAAGGAGATTTCAGTATTCAAATTAAAAACAAAATTGATTCACCTAACAGAATATGTTCTGACTGCTCCAAAGCCTGATGGCGGCAACTTAATCAGAGTACCATGCTAACAGTGCAGGCCAAGATAAGTTGTGTGATCATGACCTGCACTGTTTGTTATTCAATAATTACATAGTATGACATTTTCCCTATGAAAATGATGAATGATTTTATCCAGATTGAAATATGGATGAGACCATTTAAGATATCTTGCATGGCAAAGGTTTAAAACATGAAAGCCACTAGTAGTCAAAGAGAATACAGAATAGCATTATTTAATGAACAAATGTTGAAGATTTCTGCTCTCAACTTAATCCATAAAGGTTTGTTTTTATTACATTAAAATGACTGTGAAGTGCAAACTTAACATCTGGTTCATGTAAACAAAATATGTAAATTTTACAACATGTTTAAAACCTCCAATGTAATTTTTATATACCCTTGCCAAGTTCAACAAAATAAAATTGTTTAATAACATACCATCACGAAATAAATGTCCAATATAAAATGTTCCAACACACCAGTTTTTACAGCAGTTTTACCATTAAAATACACATAAAACTTCAATTGTCCCTGTTTTAATTAAATAGATGACTCAGCCGTTTGTTTACCAACTGTTCATTTATCTGTATTTAAAAGAATGTGTGTGTTTATCAAATACAACACCACTATGACTGATCTTTACTTTATATCAGGAAAAAAAATAACACACAGTAACACAGTCACCTCATTTATGACTCAAAACAGAATTTCAAAATATGTCCACATATCAATGTTTATATATCATAACAGACAGGTCAAAATCTACAGGTTTATGTAAATCCAACAGTTCTCTCAAATTATTAAGCAAAAAAAAAAACCAACAACAAAAACACGCACACACAAAAACCGAAATATGTACTTAATGCACACAACAGTCGGAAAAGTGTTATATATAGTATTCCTTGTACAATAATACCTCAGCTGACGACAGTCATGTAAATATGTGTATAAATGACTGACTGCTTCACTCAATGTTTACCTACTTACCTGTGTGTCCAGGTATTTTAAATGTATGTAAATGCATGCATATAGTCAGGTGATACTTTCAATGTTTATATACTACTATGAAAATGTCACTTACTATGTAATAAAATGCATATAAATTCAACACCTAGCTGCATATAGTATTGTGAACAGAAAATCTAATTTGTTAAATTGTTTTTGTAAGTGTAACATTTGCATATTTATGACCGTATACTTAACCTATATTATCAAAATGGTTATAGGCAATTATATAATCTATGACCTAAAAAAAGCAAGCTTAATATCATCTTGTGCACAAACTTACAATAAACAAGCCTTTGAATATGGCATAAATTGTCAACTTAAATTAAAGGATTTAATTTATCAGCAGTTATTTTCTATCGGGCATTGTAAAATGGAAGAAATATTTAAACATCAAAACATGTTTCCAATATATAACCCTAATAACACTGCTTAACCATGTGGAAAAATGTTGTACTATAATTCCATGAAAAGTTACTTCAGACACTTAACAGATTTTAGTCCAACATTGAAACACTTTTTCAGACTTATATACAAAACTATATCATTTCAAACGTCTAGTTCACAGATATCAAAATGCAAAAAGTCATTACAGGTGATATATATCAGAAAAGCACATCTACTTTCCCTTCAAAGAAATTCAATCTCATTGCTGCTAAAAAGTTATAGTATACATTAATACCATCAACAAATTGCATTGGATCACATCTATAAGTACATCCTTGTTTATATAACATTTCTTCCTATGTCTAACTTCCTGAATTATTTCAATTTTCAATCCTTCACTCTAACAATGCTAACTTCCCTATTCTTCTAGTACAGAGCCAAGCCAAACATCTATATGTATATCTACAATCTCTCACCAGACATTTTGTGGCTTTTTTACTTAATGGAATTTATTCATAACTTAACTTAAAATGGTAAACATAAAAGACTGTAGCATCACTATAACTTTTTTTTAATTAAGTAAAACTACTGTGTATTTGTGATGGTAAAACACCAGTCGGCCATTTTTGTTATGCAGGGAGTATAGATTATAACTTTTTAAAGAACAATTGACCCGTACATAATACATGTATGTGCACATTATAGAATGAACTGTATAAACAATATTAAACTATAATTTATGAAACCACTAAATTTCATTGTTCCAACATCTTACCAGGATGTTTATGTCAACCATATCTGTAAACAAACATCTTGTTTACACTTTTTAATACTTTTGGCTATAGCAGGCAAGGTATGATTTTTTATGGTAAAATTAACTCACATTTCTACAGATAAACTGACATTCCTTTCTTACCACAACATCCCTGTCATAATTTCAGCAAGTTTGTCTGTTTTTTGTTAAACGCCGATTTTCAACATTATTTAAATTACAAATGCGCTTGGTACAAAGTCATGTGGACATGTGTTTTTCCCCATTAACTGATGATAACTATGCCATACCCATGCAAGCACCAGTTTGTATATATACAAGCTGGATTGAAACCAAGAAATGTCTATGACCTCAGTTTATATGCTAGTACACTTTTTTTGTGTACCTTATAATTGTGTTTAACTACTAATATAGGTAAAACATTAAATACCTTATGTATACTTTGCATTAATAAATGTAAATATATAAATTACATCAAAATTCACAGCCAATTTAACATCACAAAATCTATATGATTTTTTGTAAAAATACTTATACATGTTTTGTGCCATCACTTTACTACATGTACTTTGAACTACTTAATTGACTGACAACCACTAGTACTAGATAATTTCAAAAATGCCAGTTAAGACCAAAAACCATTTACATAATGCCATTTTAGGTTATACATTTATTGTGACTAAATAATGGCCCTAAAGACCCTTGTCAAATGAAAAATATAAGTTCAATACCATGCTATGACCTAGATCTTTGAGTATGGGACCCAGGTCTTGCATGAGGTATATTGTCTACTTATGATGGTCGTATGTACTAATTTGCTTTGAAATCCAATCATGCATGCAGAAGTTATGGCCCGGACACAATGGATTTACTTTTTCCAACATATACACATACAAGGGTAACACTGTCCCCTCCCCATTTAATGGGGGAGGGGGAATAATAAAAACAACTTATGTATATTGTAAGCTTAATAACTTATACATGGCAACATTCAAGAACATGTTTCTAGAAATAGTTAACATAATGTAAACTTATTTCAATTACTGAATTACTTCTGCCTGTTTGTTCTAATCAAGTCTAATGTTACATAAAGATGTCATAATGGAAAAATGCTCAATACACTAATTCAGTCACATATCAATCTTACAGATGACAAATGTTATAAACAATCTAACATATGATATTGTATTTAGTCAACATATTTTCAATGTGGCAACATATGTTACAATTTACATGTAAAATTGACTGCTGGCCTAAATGCATGTACAATAAAAATTATATACAAACATGACTGGTCACATAGTTTAACTTCACCGCCAGCATTTCCATTTACCATGAACTATTTTTTGTGTCTCTATTTATAAATGTCATGCTTAGTTTATTATGGAAATATATTGTTATGAAGAACTGGTTTTAACATAATTAAGACCCATTTTTAATAGAAGTGTAAATATGAAGATATCCTTAAACATCATGAAATGTTTAAACAGATTGGGCTGGCCCTGAATTCACATATGTATATGTTTTGTGTCATGCATGCAGAACTTTATACAGAAATATAACATATTATTTTGTGTTTTTGTCTTCACCATTTATTTAAAAAGTATTATAGAAATTTCCTCCAGAAAATTTTACAACCAAAATAAGACTACTCTTCAAAATTTTCTGTTCAATTAAATAACCTTTTTAAAAAATATTACTTCATTACATACAATAATAGCATAAGTTTTGGAAAATTTATTATACAAAGTATATAAGTTTAATTATAGTAAACATCATACTGTAATTTGTAAAACAGTTACATGACGTTTTCGAGACTATGAACAGTTAGGATGATACTAATTTACATAGCCACAGGGTCTAAAACTGATGTCTTATGTCAAATTTAATGAATGAAATTTTAAGATATAAGACACTAGCAAATTAATTCAAATGAAAGCAAATTATGACCTATCCCCTAAAGCCATATTGACAAAAGTAATGAAATAAATGTTGTGAATTATTCATACTAATTTTCTTATTTGTCAATAAAACTCACAGATCCCAACTTTTCCAAAATTGGAATTAATTATTTTCAAAAATTCAAAACAGTAGAATTATTCTTAATAATTGATTAATATCAACTGCAAACAGTTAATAACAGATATTGAGCAGTATCTGGTTAAAACTTAAACAATATTTCCTTTATGTCAAATAATTTTCAATTTGATACAATACTGATAGTTTCAGATTTACATTAAAAACATGAATTTATTATTAATATAACATAAGTTTATAAAATACTACTTCTTTAACAAAATAGGGTAACATTATTTTAGCCAGCAAAGTTCAATAACCTTTTAACCCTTTAATTCATAAAAATTTATTAATTAAATAAATCCAATAAACGATTAACAATAATGTACAACAAGAGCTGTCACAGGAGACAGCGAAGCTCGACTAATAAAATACTGGACGCAGTAAGGAGGACAAAACTATGAAAGAAAAATCCATTATGTATAATTATGTATTAAGTTATAGTAAAAAAATAACATTTGTTAACATTAATTCCAAGATCAAGGGGAATAATTCTAGAAATAGTCATGCTAGAGTTATGGACCTTGTCACACAACATTTGTGTAATGATAAGAAATATATATTTGAAGTTTGAAGTAGATACCTTAAAAAAGTAAAGAAGTTATTATATTTCTTAAAGAAAATCCTAAGTTCAAAGAGAGATAAATCTGTAAATATTGCTTCAAGAGTTATGAACATTGTCACATAAAAAGTAATTAATGATAAGGAATAAGTATTTGAAATTTGAGGTAGATACCTTTAAAAATAAAAAAGTTATAATAAAAAATAACATTTTTCTAGTAAAACAATCTAACTTTATGGAGAGATCATTCTTGCAATATTGGTGCTAGAGTTATGAACCTTGTCAAATAAGATGTGGATGATGATAACGTAAATATATTTGAAGTATGAAGTTGATCCCTTTAGAAATAAATAAGTAACAGTAAAAAATAATATATTTTATGGAAAATTCTAAGTTCAAGGGGAGATAAATCTGAAAATATTGGTGCTAGAGTTATGAACCTTGTCACATAAGATGGGGATGATGATAACGTAAATATATTTGAAGTATGAGGTTGATCCCTTAAGAAATAAAGAAGAAACAGTAAGAAATAGTATTTTTTGAGGAAAATTCTAAGTTCAAGGGGAGATAAATCTGAAAATATTGGTGGTAGAGTTATGAACCTTGTCACATAAGATGGGGATGATGATAAGGTACATATATTTGAAGTATGAGGTTGATCCCTTAAGAAATAAAGAAGTAACAGTAAAAAATAACATCATTTTAAGGAAAATTCAAAGGCCAAGGGGAGATAAATCTGGAAATATTGGTGCTAGAAATATGAACCTTGTCACATTAGACGGGTTTATGATAAGGAACATATATTTGAAGATTGAAGTTGATACCTTAAGAAATGAAAAAATATTCTACTGCACCAAAACTTTAATCTAAAATCTGGACGCAGACGCCGGGGGTGTAGGACAGCTCTCCATATACTTTGTATAGTCGAGCTAAAAACCTGTTCTCAAACTAGTATTTACTTACATGACTTTTGATGTTAATGGATTTTTGAAAATAAAACATAATTGCCCATGCTAAAGAGAAAAAAACAGATTTACTCTTTTGACTT